CCTCGGGCCGTCGGAGTGAGAGCGGCGGCGCGCGGTGGCGCTGGATATACGCCCTCTGCTGAGGGGATTTCTGCGAGGGGGAGGAGCCGCTGGCTGGGAATTTCCAAGCCAGACAAACAGCAAGAACTAGCCTGCGCCTGGCTGCGGGAGGCGTTACATAAAAGCCCAGGCGAGACTCGCAGCGAAGGAATCCCCATGACTGACCCGCCCCTCTTCGCTTTCCCCCACCCCCTTTTTCACAAGAGGGAAAGTACTTGGTACAGCTCTGTGACTAACCCCCTTCCCCAGGTACTTCCCTGCTGTGCCCCTGGAGTTGGCTTTTTCCCATCCTGGGGTTTCCCTTCCCCTGGTCTCCCTGGGACTCTGTACTCACAGGTTCTCCAAGGCTAAAACGGCACCACAGGGGAGATGCCAATGCCGTCACTCCTGCCGCTGCCTGCCTGAGAGGCACACAAGCAGTGTCCCCCCTACTACCACTTGGAGTCATGAAGATGCCACTTTTTTGTGCAAAGACCAGGGTTGTCTTGGCCACATCACAGCTCCTGTGCTGCTTCTCTAAAAGCCCCTGGGGTTGCAGCTGGATGCTGTATTCCCACAGTGTCCCGCTGTGCTGTATTTCACACCAGCTCCCCATCTGTCAGTTTGCTAATTTTGTAATACCCTGTGGTGCAAGGCACTATTTAAATGTAAGAACTAGCATTGATAGTCAATAGCAGCCACACTAAATACATCTTAAACCTCAGATGAGTTTGGAACTAACAACCTTTTTAACTATTCAGAAGCCCCAATTTCCATAAATGTAGCCTCATAAAACGACTACTTTTAAGAGTAAAGCTTGCTCTGCATAGGGCTTTCTCCTGCTTCCATTGAAGTCAATGGTAAATCTCCCATTAACTTCTCCTGTGTAGGATCAAGCACATACAGCAGGTTTCCCTTCCCACTCCAACTGAGACAGTACCTATCAAAGATTAATTCACTTTTTTCCCTCTTCCCAAAATTTACATATTTAAGTTAACATTTTTTCTTCTCACCAGAAAAAGTTTCTCTTTTTGCCAATGGCATGCTGTTTATTGTTACCCATTATCTAGATATCCCTCTCTGATAATTCCTATTGGGTATGATGACATTCACTGATAAAGATCAAGTGAAATATTGAAAGCACCTAGATTGATTAAAAATACATCTAGGCCATCCTGTGGATTCTGCACGCTAACCTG